TTTTATGCGATAATACTAAGATAGATGACCGTGAATTTCAGTTTCTTCATAAGTGTGTTTATCCAGTGATAAAATTAACTTCACTATAAAACAAATAATAATTCTCAAAATAAATTTTAAAAATATGACATGCTCTGGCTAAAAGAAAAGAAGGCAAACTGGGTAGATATCAGTGGAATAAATTCTGTACATGGATCTTACAGCAGCATCGTTTATAATAGTAAAACTAGAAATACTCTCAAAGTCCATCCAAAAAGGAATAGTTAAACAAAGCCTGGTATGCCCATTCTTTGGAATACTCTTAAGACATTAAAAATATCAAGTTAAAAATTATGTGTCCTGATATGACAAGATGACCATGGTCTATAGTATAGGAAATAGCAAATTGCAAAACAATTTTATGATGAAATTTATGGTAAAAAACACTTTAGGTATATTTATTAATTCATAGAAAATTTCCAGAAAAATAAATCCCATAAAATAGGAATAATAATTCCTTCTAAGAAGGTGAGTGACTCTGAAGGGAAGGAGATGAAAGGGGAGACTTTCACTTTACTTCATATAAATCTGTATAATTTAGCTTATTTTTACAGTATTTCTTTTATATTTAGAAAAAGAAGAAATAATTAGTGCTGTTGCCATTTGGCTGCAGGACAACAGTACTATCTTCACCAATATTTGTACCATATGTTACTGCACAGCACAGATCTGTCGGAGACAGCCCAGAGGAGAAATGAAGACAAAGAAGAGATGACACCTGCAAAAAGTTAGTGGAATATTTTGACATAACAAACCTTCCAGGTGAATAATGTCAGTATCAACCACTGCTCCAGCTCACTCAATAAACCTGAAACCTGCCGAGGGTAAGCCGGAAGACACGGAAGGCCATGCCCCACTAGTCCACTCCCCCACCCAGGGCCTGTTTGTGCACATTGACTACACCAAACAGAAAATGAACTCCGGATGGGGCGTGTGCCTTTGGGGAGGCTGGCAGAGAGGCACAAAATGGAACACTAGCTAAGGGCGCATATCTGAGAGGCCGAGTTCCAGGTGTAGATCCAAAATGTATCAAGAAATTGTGTGAAGCAAAGAAAGATGCTTGACCTCACTGAGCCTCAGTGACCCCCCTGTAAGATAGAGATCACAAGCCGACTTCACAGAGCTGGTGGGTAAGATATGTAAAAGTGCCTGCAACAGCCAGTGTCCACTTTATTAACACAGTAGTATCAGATTTCAAATCAGTGAAAAGAATAATGTCAATGAGATGAAAGACGAGATGCCCAGCTTTCTAAGCAGCCCCAGCAGCATGAGAATGAGAGGAGCTACAAGTACCCAGGGTTCTTCACAGCTCCACTGGAGAGGATGAGCATGAGGCTACGAGAAGATCAGGAAGTGCCTCTCGTGCAGTGACTTGTGTAGTGGGGGTGGAATCCCTAAAGATGCCACAAAACACAGTTACACACAAACAGCATCTAGGAAACCATGGTGATTGGAACAAAGCAATCAACCCAGCAGATAGGAATGAGAATGGAGTGAGCAGGTGCCACAAAACCTAACAGAAGACAGAACCATGAGCGCCCAGCTCGGCGAACAGCTGCTGTGGTTGCCTCAGGAGACCAACCTTTTGAGACAGCCATAGTGGGGACTGCTGGGAACACAGTGGTCATTGCAGCCACACCCCCAACAGCAGTGTATGTGAACACACAGAACCTAAGACCTCCCTCTCTATCAATCCTTGTTTTAGGATGACAGATACTCTCATGTACAATAGCCCCATCCAACACTTGTGGACGAGTGTAATCAGAAACCCCCTAAAGAGGGCACAGGACAGAGGAGGATGAGAACACTGAGGGATGGAGGAGTGGTGCTGTACTTGACCACACAGACTATCACCTGGTCCCTATTTAACACAAGAGAAGAACCCTAGGACTGTGATGTGGTCTAACTAGACTTCCTCATCTTGCCACATTCATAGACACCACATGGTTTCTCTTTCTTTCTTTGCAAAGGTGTTGATGAATTCATGTGTACTTAATTCATAGAGAAGTAAATTCTTCACAAAGTAATAGGATCCAGTTTCCATGACCAGGTTTTTCAGTCCCTTTGATAGTATACCACATTCAGGAATCAGAAATGCAACCTCTTAGAATGTGTAATACAAACAAGGTCTTATTTTCATGTAGATCAGCACCTAGGTTTTTAGGGACAAGATAAATCATGACAGCTGCTAACTATTCCCCTACAGGCTTCAACAAAACACTTAAAACTCCTAATTTAACTTACAAATCTCAGGAAGAGAGAAATTCGACAATTCAAGTTTTTTGTTTTTGCATTCAAACACAGAGCACAGGGAAGAGAATGAGCAGAAAAATTTCAATGGGAAGATCTTGCTTGACTTTTATCTTTTGCAAATGAGCAGTATATTTTATTTCCTGTTCATTTCACTATTCTATTTTTTTTTCCAGTGAGGAAGATTAGCCCTAAGCTAATATCTGTTGCCAACCTTCCTCTTCTTGCTGAGGAAGATTGGCCCTGAGCTAACATCTGTGCCCATCTTCCTCTATTTTTTTTTATATGTTGGACGCCTGCCACAGCATGGCTTGAAGAGTGGTGCATATGTCTGCGCCCAGGATCTGAACCTGTGAACCCCAGGCCGCTGAAGTAGAGCATGCGAACTTAACCACTATGCCACCGAGCTGGCCTCTCTAATTAATTTTTCAGGCAATATGGCATATTGAATATCCCCAGATGTGTTTATCTTGGTACCACCCTGCAATCAAGGGAATTTTCCCTTAGGGCATAAGGAATTTAGGGACACCAATTATTAAGAGGAAAAGTGGAAGCAGAAGTGCTCCTGGATATTTCCTTTTCCAGACAGAAAACTTCAACAGATCAGACCAGGCAAGTTAAGGTCTACATCGCTGATTGCCGTCTGTGATAAGCTTTCCTCCAAAGCGGAAATGTTCAAGCTCACAGGTTTCAAACGCTGCCCAGATGCTCCACACCTTGAACATGACTCTCCCAAAGTTCTAACAGAATCTGTCTGTTCCTGAAGGATCAGGGTCACCACTTGTGTCTCCAAGAAATTGGCCAGTCTGGCCTGAGTTCAGATTAGGCTCATCAATTTAAAGTGTAAATCATCTTAAGGTTGAGTGTTTCTTGGAGGCTTCTGAACTTGAAAACGTTGGTAAAAATGGTCCACTAGATACTTGCCTGGGAATTGGGGTTGTTCTCCTCTGCTCTCAGCAGATCTTGGGTAAACCAACGATTAGCTTCACAAATGCCTCAACTTTCACATTTGTGAAAAATGTGCCCCATGAGGGTGACATTTTCAGTAAGCAATAGCCAATGTTACCACCCCTGTAAACTCTGAAGTTGTGCTTTTGGATCCGGGCCATAATGGTGAATTTCTCCTCCAAGTTGCCAAAATGGTGCACTTTGGCTGGAGAGAGCAGAGGACAGCAGGCAAAGTGGAAAGTTCCTGGTATGTCAAACCTGTTCCCATAAGCAAATAGCTTCAGGGACTAGGGTGATGCTCTGGACAGATGCACAGGCACGCAGGTGGGAGGAGGAGCCAACCAAGGAAGGAGGCTGTGGGGACATGGCAAGGAAGAGGCCCAAGTCCAGAATCTATTCCGGGCAAAAGCGAGTTGCACACAGCAGGCCCGCCGCTGCATGTCACAGCCCTCACATTCTCCTAACCCCTTGGTCCCTGTCCTGCCCCTCACATCCCTCGCTGAGACTGAGTCCACGTCGGATTGGTGCAGCACCAGAGACAGCAGCCAACGGGCTTAGGACCATGGCCAGGCCCACACCGCCTTGCCTGCCCCTCCAGCGCTAAGCAGTCATCCCCAGGCACGGTTCATCCTGGCAGTTGTAGTTCTGCAGCCCCGCAAGCTGTCGCTGGTAGTGGTTAAGAGACTACAGCTCCCAGCATGCACAGCGAAGGGCTCTGCCTCCTGTCGTGCCCCTCGGCCCGCCGAGAGCAGTCCTAGCAGGCTCAGCTGAGCGCGAATTTCCCCAAGCCCCCAACCTCTGAGAAGTTAGACTTCTTGCAGACCAGTGAGTGCCCTAACGCCTCTGGCACTTTGCCCGAGTAGTCCTTGGTACAACCGGCACTCTATGAGCTCAGCGCACCCGCCTTGCTGGCCGAACGCCCTCCCTCCAGCCCCGCCCTCTGCCGCGCCCCCCTCCGCCGAGCCGCTTCTCTTCGCCACGCCCACTCCCCACGCCCTGCCCACGCGGGCATGCGCAATGCCGTCGGTTCCGAACGTTGAGGACGCGGTCCAGGTTGGTGGGGAGCTCAAAGCATCCGTGGGCTTGTCGGTTGCTGAGGCTTCTTGGAACCCAAGCGAAAGGTACCTGGCCAATGTTTGAAACCATCAATTCACCGGCTAAGATGGAAATACCGGGTATCTGGGAACCTGGAACTTGACCTTTTCAAAACCACCTTTCCCGCCACCCGTCCGGGCTGCCAGGATCCTCACTCTGGACCCTGTGGTCATGCCCACTGCAGAGCGCCCCTTGGACCTCACCCGGCTGAATGGTATATACCTTGGTTAGGCCTCTTAGAAGGACTGCCACATGTTATAAAAGGAGAAAACATCACAGTGGGCAGCTCCAATTCCTGCATTATACAGACAGGGAACTCAGGTGCCCAGTAAGTGACCCCCTAAGCCCCTTGTTTGATGCCCCACAGGGTTGGTTCACTGGGCTTCCTTATCCCAGTGTGAGCCTCTTGGTCTAATTACCACAGGCAACAGAAGCAGAAGTTCCCATTGATCCTTCCCAAATGTTAGGGAAGTTTGTGTAGGATGGTAATACACAATTTCAGCATTTCTGCCCTGCAATATAGCTGCTTGGGAACCCTTTTAATATCCTTTCTTAAATATCCTTTTGGAACCACTTTTACTAATTTGTTGCTATGGGGGTTACACTGATAGTTCTGTTAAGTCATTTTCCCCTTTAGTTTCTTTGATGATTCCAAGTTCTATATTACTACCTACTTCTCAAATGAGTATTGACCGCCCCAATTCTGTGCAGGGAGGGTGCAAAACAGCAGAATATCTGTGGTACAACTTTCTGGAGCATCAATTTTACTACAAGATTTGGAAGAAACAAAGTTAAGTAATTTCCGAGGTAAGTAATTAAAAATTTAAATCTAAAACAAGGAAGTCACCTGCCATCAATAACTGCCAGTAATCCGTGCCTGAACTGTCAGATTTTCTCTGAGAAAAAACTAAGGAGAACTTATTTCCCGTTATTTTAAATAGCAAAAATTATAAGACATAGCAAGTTCTGGAAAAACCCTACAAATTTCCTAAGTCACAATATGGCACCTAGATAGAAGTTACAGATATCATGTAGGATGTAAAATGCTTAAAACATGGCTTCTTGGTCATCTCCCAGTCTATATGGTTGTTAACACACCACTGCTTTGCGCAGTAGCAGTGGCCTGTCTTAGACCAGCAACGTCAGATATGGTCCTTCTTGTCCACACTCCCAAGACTTCCAAAGTAACTAGCATGATTGATGGTCTACAGTTGTATTTGGAAGCAACATGAAGCTTGTCTAGCAAATCATTTAGTTTAAAATGTTGTGTTTTTTGAAGACTCAATGTAAAGTTTATATAAGTATCAGCTACAAAATGTATTGAGCAATAAGTAGCTGTTATGCAGTTCAGGTATTAAAGACTAACGTGTTCTTCCGGGAAAGCATTAACTGGGGATATGTTCTGTGACGTATACCTGTATTATGAAATAGATGGCAAAGCCCCATTTATGTAAAGATTAAAGTTGCAACTTTGAATAAACGGGCTGGGAAGTCCTGTCAGGCTGCATCCCTGGGTTCTGGAGTCCTGTGATGTGTCTGTGTCTGTGATGACCCCTGCCAACATCCACCTACAAATGTGCCCTAATGTTGTGCATTAAACAAACAGACGCCCCTAGACCCCAGAGTCCTCTCCATTTACCATTCTGCTTCTCTGCTCCATTCAAGGTGCCTCTCCTCGCGTTCTCTCCTGAACCCACTCCATTCCAGCTTTCTCCACACCACTCCACTGAAATGGCTTTAAGCTAGGTCACCAGTGATTTTCACTTTGCTAAATTCAAGGTTAAGTTTTTGTTCTTGTCTCACTCAATCTGGATTTCCTGATGCCCCTTCTCTCCTGAGTTCCCTCCCCCCTCACTCTATCTTCCTCCTCCTGCTCCTCCTCCTCTGCCACATCTTCAGTAATCCCCACCCCTTCTCTTTGCTGTGTTCCCTCTCTTCTCAGAGAAATAAATGTTTTTCCTGTTATCTTAGTGACCACACTACTTCATCAGAGTCTAACATTAATTGGTACTTATACCTTCTTCCCAGAGAGTGCAAGGACCCCGTTTGCCCCTTCCTGACTTCATTATTGTTGGTGTGTACTTAAATTATAATATAACCATGAATCTACAAATATAATATATATAAATATATATTTAAAGCATACCAAATATTATCTTTGTTTTATACATTATTTATTTGGAGCTATACACATATTTATTAATTGTGTTGTTCTTAATTTGTTCCTACTTCTCCATTCAGTTATCTGGGATTTTCTGCCTTCTTCTTAAAAAATATCCTTCACTATTATACTTTAGTTTGATATTTTAGGGGAGCAAGAAATTTTCCTCTGACCTCTGGGTTCTTCTGGCTGGTCTAAGAATTAAATTGACATGAGACAGAATAACAGGAGAAAAAGTTTAATAACATGTATACATGAGAGAAAGCCAGGAAAACTGAGTAACTTGCCATAATGACTGAAGCCATCACCTTAAATAGCTAGCATCAGGAGATAAACAGGGCTGAGAGAGAGAGAGAGAGAGAGAGAGAGATGAACTGCTAGGTGTCAGAGTAGCCAATTAAATCAACAAATCCAAAATGAAAGAGTTAAACCTGTAATTACCTACTGTAATCGTATAAGCAAGAGACTAAAACTGGAGAAAATATCAACTCCTCCTACTTCATTTTCCCCCGTGGAATGGGTCACTGGTTGAGGGTCATGTGGATCAGTACAGATGTGGGGTCATCTCAGTGTTCAGAGACCCCAAACAAAGGCCTCGGGTTTCTTATGGAACCTGGGGTCTGCGAGAGGCTTAGGTAGTGGGCCAGGAGTGGACAAATATGGTGTACTGAGTCAGAGAGGGGAAAAGCATCTTCAGGTTTTTCCCCTCTCAACCCATAAGGAGTCTTCAGCAGAGGTGCCTGAGGAAGACCTCTGCCTGTGGCCCCAGAGAAACAGAGCTAGGAATGCAAATATGGGATGAGCATGCCTGGCTAGAGGGGCCTGAGTCCTTGACTGTAGCTCCCCTCAGAGACCACAGTGCACTGACCATGTTCCATGTCTGGAGCAGGGAGGGCAGCTTCCTCAGTGAGGCCAGTTAGGTAAAGCCTTTGTAATTACCTGTGGTCAAGCCTGAAAAACCACACAGAATGTCTTAGTCCATTGGAGCTGCTATAACCAAATACCATAGACCGGTTGATTTAAACAATACATATTTATCTCTCACAGTTCTGGAGGCTGGGAGTTGGAGATCAAGTTGATGGCAGATTTGGTGACTCATGAGGGCCTGCTTCCTGGTTCATGGATGGCTGTCTTCTCACTGTGTCCTCACAGGGCAGAGACAGAGTGGGGTCTGGTCTCTTCCTCTTTTAATAAGGGCACTAATTCCTTCATGGGGCTCCATCCCATGACATCATCTAAACCTAATTGTCTCTCTGAGGCCCCACCAGACACCATCCCGTTGGGGATTAGGTCTTCAACATATGGATTTGGGGGGACACAAGCATTCAGTGCACAGCACACAGGTTTCTAACCAGGAGCTGGACTCCTCGGCTTGTGCCTAGTGATTCCCATGTCTGGAGCCGTTACTCATCTGCTTCTATTGTTGGTGCTCCTTATGCTCTCCTTTATGTTGTCACATCTCCACATTAGCTTAGTTATCTTTGATTTTGAGCTACATATTTTGTTTGCAAAGTTATTTGTGGAAATAATGTAAGGCCTAAAGTATCTTCTTCCAGTTCTTGGGGGAAGAACATCAATTTGGAATCTCCTTAATCCACTGTTAGGGACTGGGATTTTTATGGGCCAACAAGAGAGCTCAAAGTTGTGTTGCAGTTCTTATGAGAGCTTAATTATTTCTGGTTCACCTTTATTCCTAAAATGTGGCTGTTCAGGGTCCCAGTCCAAATTCCTAGGAAGAGGATTACCAAAATGCCAGCCTCAGTGGGCTCTGGACTCAAACATGTGTCCCACTAGCCTTGTCTCTCTGCCCGAAGGCAAAGGCAGTTGGGAAATATGAGGTTCAACTCTCTGGATTTCTGTTCTATTTGATATCTTGGCCTAGCAACTCTCCATAACAATGTTAGACTAAAAATATCTTCCAGGAAATGTTATTCTATACATAGAGGAAGAATCCTCATTTTGCAAGTTTCCAGTATGCAGAAATTGCAATTACTATGGTTTTGTTAAATAACAGCAGTACTCCAATAATGAGGTTCAAAATACAGGTACCACAGTTTTATTATCTGTGATTGCATGAAGGACCAAGTTCACTGCAGTCTGTTCAGTCTGCAATCACTGCATCAACACCAGCTGCACGTCATGATCAGGGATGAATCTTTCCTCAGAGCCTGTTGGTGATTGCTTGGTGTGTAGCTGTTATCCGGGTCACACAAACACAGCAAAGTGTTTAGTTGTGTTACCTTCCCATCTCATCTAAAAAATGGATGATCAAAAGAGGGAATCACCTGAGAAGGATAAAAGTGCAGCAAAGAAACAAAAAGTGGTGATGCTGGAAGTGAACTTGGATGTGATTAGAAGACAGCTGAGCATGAATATGACCACACTGCCACCGTGTGAGAGACTGTAGATGTGCGACCAGAGGAACCCAGTGCAGGGTTCAACATAAAGGAGGGCAGGGTGAGGACGTCCTAGGAAAGGGACGCTGGTTGAGGGTCATGTGGATAAAGCGTTTACATTAATAAACCTCTGAGAGACATTTCATGACATTGCAAGTGCAAAGGGTAAAATGTTAGAAGCTGATTTAAACTTAGAAAAAAATATGATAACTCAGCAAGAGAGAGAACGGATATGATGCAAAGAAGGAAACAACGTTCAGGCTACTCTTAATAAGATTTTTTAAAAAAGAAATTAGACACTTTAATTGTCAATGTTTTATTTACAGTATACTAAATAAATAGTAGCTTTGCTATTTTTAAATTTCCCTATACATTTTTAATTGTAAGAAAGTTTCTAATGTTTTGACCAAAAATTTTGGATGTTGTAAAACAATTGTATTTTTCCCATTGATTTTTAAATGCTTTCACGGGCATTTTATGGTCCTGCATTACCCTGCAAAGTGAGGACTGTGTGTGTGTTTGCATGTGTACACACCCATGTGTATGTGTAATTGTGTCAATAAATACTACACTATAACAGCAGTGCATTTCAAATATGTGACTGTTGATGAAGAAATTATCCCATCCATCATTACGTAGTGTCCATATCTACCAAAGTTGTCAAAGGTCTCCTTAATATTTGACTCCCCTGGGTAAACAACGGTTGTAGTAATTATCTAGGGCTGCATAACAACCACCCTAAAATTTAGGGGCTTAGAACTACGACATTTATTATGTTTGCAAATTCTGTGGGTCAAGACTGTGGACAGGGTACAGAGGGGATGGCTTGCTTCTCCTCTGTGATGTCTGGGCCTTGGCAGGAATACTCAAAGACTGTGGGCTGGAGTCGTGTGAAGTCAAGTTCAGTCCCATGTCTGGGGGTTGATTCTGACTATTGCCTGGGGATTTCATTCCCTTTCTCCTCAGCGGCTCCACATGGTCTTTCCTCATGGGTGATGCTGGGCTGCTTCTCTGCACAGGAGTGGTATTCCACCACGGCAACCTAACCCTATCTGTATCATGTTTTATGACCTAGCCTCAGACACCATGTAGCATCAGTTAGATTCTCCAATGAGGCAGATTCAAAGAGAGGGAACATAGACCTCCACCTATCAGGAGAAAAGGTGTCAGTTAAATTGTAAGAAATGTGTGTGGAATGGGATAAACATATTGGTGTGGTCATCTTTAGAAAGTGCATTCTGCCACAAGAGTGGACCCTCTATGCACCCTGAACTATTTCCTGGGTAGATACTATAATCCTTTTGAAATCTATGTTACCAGAACCTATTTCAAAAACTTATAAAATTTGTGAATTTATGACCTCAGGGTTCACTCCCCTCTCCCCTGTTGAATCTTATTAGATACTACATCTCCTTTCTGAGGTGACACACCCCTACCTTCACTGTAGGCCATAAAGCAATTCTAGAGGGAGTCTTTGTTTGTATTTGTGTATAAACAAAAGTTTGTATTTTTAATTTATTAGGGAACCTGAGATGGCTTCCAGTTTCTAGCTGGTGAACATGACCTTTTGTCCTTCTTACTATACATATATTATATACACAAGCCTTTGTTTTTAAATCCTGAATCCATGTCTTATTCTGTTTTTAAACCCATATTTTCAGTATGATATACATAAAATGAATATTCCTTTATGTATGCCTTTGACAAAAAATCAGGTTCTTTTAATGAGTTTTGCACAAAGTGAATTTTACACATACTGTGTGTGCTTCCACAAAGGACTTAAAATTTGCCTATGAGAAGCATCCCTCTCTTGATCTTCATTCTGGAATAGAAATCTCCTCTGTGGTGGTCTGGCAGTATTTCCACCCTAGATTCATATTGGAATCACAAATTCCAAGACCCCATCCCAGGTCAATTTAGTCAGAATGGCTGACTTTAAGTCTCAGGTGTAGATATTTCTAAAAGGACGTTCAGGTGATTCTGATGTACAATCAGAGTTGAGGAATCCTGTGCTGGTGCCCTGGAACACTGAAATCAATCCCTATTTATCAAGAGGAGTTAGTTACCAATCACTTTATGTCTCTGAGCATAAAACTTCAATTACAAACTAAAAGGAGGGTTTGGGGACAACCACCTCAAAGGCTTTTAGGGAGCGTGAAAGATGGTAACTCTGTGGTCTGTGCAGAAGCCTGGTGTAAGATATTAGGGATATTTTCTGTGATAAACTGAAGAGTGCTTGCCCCACCAAAATCACTTAAATCTTCCTCTTCCTCTTCTTTCTTCTAACGTCGCAATGGCTGATCAACAACATCTGTGAAGCCAAATTTGGCTCTTGACTCCTGGATTAGATGACTATCTAGGTCGCTTCTAGCTTCAATACTCTACACAACCTGAGGTCCATCACTGTAGAGAGTGGATGTTTGATTACACCGCCACATTACGTACACAAGTGGCGAGAGTTTGGGAGACAGTCAGACTCTAGAGAAAATGCCTAATACATTTGCAAGAGTGATTTTCACATTTTTTTCATCGATTTTGGTCATTTTCTAAGATATGGGACAGAAAGTAAAGACTGCAGGTACTTGGGTTCACATATTTTTACTGGAAGATAGAAGTCTCGGTTTCTCAAAAGTAGGAACTAAAAAAAATAAAAGTTGGTCTTTCTATGCTGAGAAATATCTCTGTGCAGAGCTCTATGAACACTATTTTCCCTCTGTGTGTGTATGTACGTGTGTGTGCGTGTGTGTGCATGTGTGTATGTGTATGTATGTGTTTAAGAAAATTGCTTAACTAAGAAAACTGCAGGGCCAGCCCCGTGGCTTAGCGGTTAAGTGCGCGCGCTCCGCTGCTGGCGGCCCAGGTTCGGATCCGGGCACACACCACCACACCGCTTGTCCAGCCATGCTGAGGCAGCGTCCCACATACAGCAACTAGCAGGATGTGCAACTACGACATGCAACTGTCTACTGGGACTTTGGGGAGAAAAAGGGGAAAAAAAAGAAAGGAGGATTGGCAATAGATGTTAGCTCTGGGCCAGTCCTCCTCAGCAAAAAGAGGAAGATTGGCATGGATGTTAGCTCAGGGCTGATCTTCCTCACAAAAGAAAAAAAAAAACTGCAAGGCAAGGCCTACAGGTGTCTTTGGAGTCATATACCCATGAGGCAGGGGCTGATTTCTGGGGGCTTGGGGGCGGAGTGTTGCAAGCCTGCTTCAAGCAAATGCAACATTTTCCTCTTTCAAGTCTAGAGCTCTTCCCTCACTTTGAAAAGAAGCCCATTTTTGCTTATCCAATCTTCTTCTCTCTAAAAGTATTTCAAATACAGAGCCATGGATTTTTGATGTTGTTAATGCAGAAAATGTGTCAAATGCAGACTTGTTCTATGGTAGCTCAATGGAAGCCTAAAAATAGATTTTTATGAAAACTGTCACCAAGGTCATGTCTTATATTCTCTCCTAAAATGACTTTCCTTGAATCTGAAGGTTCTAAACATAAGGTTTATTTCTGTATACTAGCAATGAACAATAAAAAATGATATAAAAATGTCCTTTTCAATATATCAAAAAATATTAAGTACTTGAGGATGAATCTAAGAAAAGATGTAAAAACTTGTACATAGAAAACATAAAAAACATTGCAAAGAAAACATTTAAGTAAATGGAAAAGAAATACACATACTTTGATAATGGGTTGGAAGACTGAGTATTTTTCCCCTTTATTCTTGAGGAAGAGTGGCCCTGAGCTAACATCCGTGCCCATCTTCCTCTACTTTCTATGGGACGTCGCCACAGCATGGCTTACCAAGCGGTGCATCGGTGCGCGCCCAGGATACGAACCTGCGAATCCCGGGCCGCCAAAGTGGAACGCGCGCACTTAACCGCTTGCACCACCAGGCTGGCCCCAAGACTGAGTATTTTTAAGATGCCATTTCTCCCCAAATTGATCTACAGATTCAAGGCAACCTCAATCCAAATCCAGACAGACTTTTTTTTTGGTAGAAATTAAAAAACTCATTCATAATTCAAATTAAGATACAAAGCATCTAAAACAGCCATAACAACTTTGAAGAATAAAGTTGGAGGACTAACAGCACTTGATTTCCAAATTTTTATAAAGTTAATTGCTAAGACGGTGTGATATTTACATCACATATATAGAGAAATAGACCAGACATATACAGAACACTGGTTTTCAAAAAAAATCTGCAAAGGCAGCTCAATGGAGAAAAGATAGTCTTTTGACAAAATGGTGCTAGAACCATTAGATTTCCATATGCAAAAATAAAAGAACTTCAATCCATACCTCATACTGTATGAAAAAATTAACTCTAATTGGACCATAGGCCTAAATGTTAACCTAAGAGTATAAAATGTCTGCAAGAAGATAAAGGAGAAATTCTTTGTGACTTTGCATTAGGTCTTAGATATGACACCAAAAGCACAATCCACAGAAGAACAAATTAATAAATTGGGATTTATCAATATTAAAAGCTTATGCTCTTTGAGAGATACTATAGAGAGAATGAAAAGACAAGTTACAATCTGGGAAAAAAAAATTTGCAAATCCTATCTCTGATAAAGAGCTTGTACTCAGAGTACATACAGAACTCCTAAAACTTAACAATAAGCTATTCTGTGCCAGTCTCAGCCTATCGATAACCAGTGTTGTGGTTGGACCAGCCCTTGTGGTTCTTATTGTGATTGCAAGATGCCCTTCAGCAATAAGTATCAAGAAACTTTGAAAAAATAAATGCTTAATACTCACAGGACCTGGAAATTACACAGCACACCTGGGACCACATATCAAGGCTTTGGTTAGAGAGAGAGAGAGAGAAAATGTCCCTGGGGTTCTGCTTTTATTGGGGTGGAGGGTGTGGCTCTAGGGTTTCATAGGTTCACTCTTTATCCATTAATTTAAAACAGAGTGAGAATTTAAAGCATGAGAAGAGAGAAAAAGAAAGGAAGGGAGGGAGGGAGGGAGGAAGGGAGGAAAGGAAGGAAGGAAAGAAGGAAGGAAGGAAGGAAAGGAAAGAAAGGAAAGAAAGGAAGAAAGAAAGGAAGAAAGGAAAAAGGAAGGAAGGAAGAAAAGAAAGAAAGAAAAGAGAGAGAAAGAGAAAGAAGAAAAGAAAGAAAGATAAAGAAAGGAAAGAAAGAGAAAAAGGAAAGAAAGAAATAAAGGAAAGAAGAAAGGGAGGGAGGAAGGAAGGAAGAAAGGAAAGCAAGAAAGGAAGGAAGGAAGAGAGAAAGAGAAAAGAAAAAGAGAAAAGAAAGAGAGAAAGAAAAGAAAGAGAGAAAGAAAAGAAAGAAAGAAAACAAAGAAAGAAAGAAAAAAACTCAAGCTGCCCAAATGGTCAGTTATCAATCAACCAAGATGTCTAAAAGAAGGAGCCTCAGTGGGAGGAGGTGGTCTGGCTCTTTCTTGAGTCGTGTGGCTGACACATGACTCAATGTTTGTTCCGTATAGCCATCTTTGAAGTGGATGCCTCTCTGAAATGGATGCCTCCACAAGCAAAGCTTAAGTCAGGGACTTGCATTACAAAGATAAAAAAAATCTCAGGGCTTCCCCTACACCATGGAGTGGGAGAAAACATTTTCAAATAATATATCTGCTAAGGGTCTAATCTTCAGAATATATAAAGAACCCTTAAAACTTGTGATGGTGAGTCTTATGTGTCCATTTGGCTAGGTTATACTACCCAGTTGTTTAATCAAACACGTCTATAATCGGTTGACTTTGGAGGATCAACTTCCAGAAATGGGGCAAGGTAAGCAGCTGTGGTCTCACTGTGGGGAGGGTGTGGGTGTGGAAATCAGAGACCCCCTTGTTCATGAACCTCTCTGGCCCTATCCTTTGGGTCTTACATTGATTGGATGAGTTAGGTACACAGAGCTGGGTGTGTACACCTGGTTAGGTACACATCACATTGGGAGGTGGGGGAAGGGCTGGCATCAAAGACACCTTCCTGGAGGAGGCGCTATTTCAACACAACTGTGAGAACAGGCAAGTCCTGGATGGAATTGGAGGGAGGGAGGGTTCCCGTGTGAGCAAAGACCCCAGACTGGCTCCTTGCCCCTCTCACTACCCTCCACAAAGCCCCTGCAGGGTCCCCCACCCAGGTTCTGTCTGTATCCTGTCCTTCCTCTATCCCAACAATCAAAGTAATTACAGAGATTCAGCTGCTCCAGGAGGCCTCAAATCAATACAACCTTGAACCCGAGGAGCAATTTGGGGCCTGATTCCAGGCCATGGAGCCCCTTAGCCAGGATGAGAGGTGAGGCAGGGGAGGAGTTGGGTGAGGGCAGGGGGAACTCTCTCTGATGGCCAGCTCCAGAGCCCATGGCCTTGGCTCCCTCATCAGCCTCAGACCTTGTTGCATGGGACTCCAGCTGCTGGCAGGCTCTGGGAGGGACACCTGATGTGTGGCCCTTCCAGTCGGCCAGCAAGATTCAAATTGTTCTTCAAGGTGAAGAAGAACCCGCCATCTTCCAGCTCAGGGCTGAGTCAGTGTCTGGACTGGCAGTGGCTGAATCCAGGGGCTCAGTAAAGCTTTGGGCTAAACGTGGTCCTGGGGAGTCAGACAGCCAGTGCTGGTATCCCAGCTCTGCTGCTGACCAGTCCTGTGATAGGTGATTCTCCTCACCTTTCTGGGATGCAGTTTCCTCCTCTGTGAAATGGGTGATGCTAAATGACAGCTCCTATGTCAGGGACAAATGGAGTGCTGTTGATTGAGCTCTCAGCACAGGGTTTGGAGCACACAGTGCTCTTCTAACAGCCTCTTCTGTTCAGTCACCAGGCCCCCAGCACAGAGCCTGTACCAGAGGCAGATCACACTCCTGAGACCAGATCAAGTGTAGCCTCTTCCTCAGTGCTGGGGACACTCAGGGTGCACTGGACCAGCTCCTCTCACCGTTATGGGAAGGAGAACATTGTAAGCCTTTTCCTGGGGTCCCTGAAGCCCAAGAAGGGACAACCCACCCCAACTCCCTGATATCTCTACGCCAGCACTTATGTACCTATTGGAGAGGGACAATAGTTATTTGTTGTTAACAGTAAATGTTAGATTTAAGTATTATATTAAAATCCTGTTTCTTTTACAGCCTGGGAATGGTGGTGTGGTTCTTTCACTTCCTGTGCTCATGTAAATGAGACACAGAATCTCACATTCCTCCTTGAATTAAGGAATCTTGTAAGGTCTCAGCTTATTGTATGTTGAAAAAGGGAAAAGAGCCAGCTCCCCTCCCCGGTGCTGAAGGACATACCCAAGTCCCCTTTCCTCAGAGGAGAGGTTCATTTTGATACTGGCTCAAGACAAGGTTGACATGAGGGAAGCCATATTGTAGAAAAGAAACCCTACTGTAACTTTGAATGACCTCTGACTAACTAACCCAGCTGGACATGCACCCTCCAGGAGATCTAACTGCTCTGTAGATTTTACGACCCTTGCTTGTGCATGTACCTCCCAGCTGCAATAAGATGATAACCATGATCTTTTGAGTTCCTTAGGAATGTGATGACCCCCAAACAGAGAGTCTATGCAGATAGCCATCATCAATGAAAACTGAAAGATCTGGTGTGGCACTCCCAGTCTGTAACACCAGAAGGTCAACATTTCTAACCCCCTCCCCTATAACCCACCAGCCTATATGACTGCTGTAAGACTTTGTGCCCCTTAAGATGGTTCTTTTGGACATGAGTCAGCCATCTTCCCTCTTACTAGCCAGCTGTAATAAAAAGTCCTTTTTCTCCTACCACCTTGCCTCTTGACTATTGGCATGCCTTGCGGTGGGCAGACAAACCCCCTTTTTGGGTGGTAACAATTTCAGCGTGGTTCACCTAGGCCAGGAGCAGAGACAGCCCCTCAGAACTCTAGGGATTTAGAGGTTGGAGGTGCTTTCACAGGCAGAGCATCAACCACTGAAAATGGGTGTCCTTAAAAATTGCACTACTTAGATGATGTCATGCCCCAGGAGATTTGCTGATTTTCCACAGCTTTGGAGGAAGAAGGAATGTTTTCTGCTTCTCTTGTTGAGGTTTCTTTTGACCAAATATTAGAAACTTGTAGTTTTCTATCTCAAACTCTGTATTGTGCAGCACTAAATGGGGAAAAGCATATAAAAATTCTTTTGTGGAGACGACAAGACCAGAGAAAGTTCATTTGTAGAGGGACCAAGGGTATACAGGACTTTCTCTCTTCAGGACCCTTCTGGGGGCTCTGTGTTTACACTTACTTAGATCAGAATCCTGCTGAGATCTTGGTCCATGACTCCAAATTCCTTTTCCTGCTTGTTTCATATCCAGGGAGAAAGATGTGTGATGCAGCTTTTAAGGCTACGTCTGGGCTTCGTTCCATAAACATCACTGCTCCCGGTGAACTAGGATTTCCAGCATCCCTGTGCTTCCTTATACAATTCTTTTTAGGGCAGATATTCCCCAGAAGGCCCCCAGCCTCTCTGTCAGGTACATCGTGACCACTTCTCCCTGGCTGGGCCTGATGAATCAGGGGTGAGCTCTGGTTTGCCTGGATAATGGACCATAATCCTGGCCAGTGAATGAACCCACAGTCTCCCTTGATGCCCAGGGAATGTCATCTGGGCCTGTGTGGTTCTGAGGTCCATTGTCTCAGATAATCACCAGTTTACACGCTCAGTCTTGTTACTGACTCATCTTAAAGGGGCTGCTGGGCTGGAGCCCATACAGTACATAGAACCCTAAGATGGTTTGTGTTCTTTTCCCCAGTCTTGTGCTGTGGTTATGATGTGGGGCTGCTGAGTCGCGAGTCAAAAAAGAATTTTCAGACACTAGCTGATCGTTCGTTTGTGCATCTTTATTTTGTGTTAAGCATGAGGACAGGACCCACGAGCGGTAAAGAGCTGCATGGGGACAGGACCCATGGGCAGTAAAGAGCTGCATGAGGATAGGACTCATGGGCAGTAGAGAGCTGCTTCTAGAAGTGTCTGTCCAGGGCCATTATATACGATTTTTAGCTATTTTTACTATTCTACAGAAATTAGGTGGTCTGTTTAGCCTCAAAGATTAGGGCATGGGGGCGGATGAAGGAGAAGTGTCCTTGCATTCTAAGGTATGGTATGCCTCAAGGAACACATAGGCAGGAGATTACAGTCATTGATCACCTCTTAAGGTAAATTCCTTTGCTCCCAGCCAGAGGGACTGAGTAAGTAGGGGCATGTGAGACTGAGTGGCGACCATGTCAGTTATGTCACGCAGTTGTGAACCTTTCCTGTTGGGAGCTTTGAAAGGTGAGGTATGAGAGGGGTGTGGGCAGGTCCAGCAGGGAATGCCACCAAACTGATGATCCATGGATGTGCAGGGGACACGGCCTTACCAAGTAAAATACTGAAATGCTTCCCATCTGGGTGGTAAACAGACACTGCTCTGAGCTCACCCTGAGAACCCGCCCATGACCAGCAGCTAAAGGGTTACCACCTGGTATTTTGGATATCTTCCCCTGGAAACACCCTGTAAGACAAGGGCCAGATGACTTTCTTGGCACTTCTGAGTTATCCCCTCCTTTCTGACAGCTTCAAGTGTCACCTAGACACACAGCAGGCTGGACTCCTCCAGAGATGCCTTCTCAGGACAGCCAGCAACTGAGGATAAATCCTGATTCTTGGCAGCCCAGGCCCTTCCCAACAGGACACAGCCATCCAGGAAAGTGATTTGCTAAAAGAAGGACTGGGAAGGTTGTACTTTCTCTCCAAAGAGAAAGAGAAGTGCCAGGTCCCAGGGCTAGTCCAGGGTCGGGAGGAAGGCACCGTGTCCAAGGGGTTTCTCCTGCAGGACTCGGGGGCTTCTGAGAGCAGACCTAGCATGTGTAGTAACATTTAATAAGTCTTGGACTAACCATATCATAGAGCAGGGACAATTTATTATATCTTTGGGCATCCATTGGTCAAAATGCACTGACAGTCACCCAGAACAGACCTATGTTTGCAGCAAGGGTCACATATTTTCTTTTTATATGTATTCTAAGCTTCAAAATTTGTTTGGTTCTTTTTTATGTTTCCTGTTTTTGAGCTTTTCATTTTGTTCTTGTCCTGTTTCCCGTATTTCATTAAATTGTTTATCTGTATTCTCTTGTGGCTCTGATTTGCTTTAGAATGATTACTTTGGTACCTTCTTCCACAGTACACCAGGGCAGTTTAATTTTAGTTTGTGTTCTCCACCTTTTGGCCCATGTTAGAACCAACTAACTAAACAGATTGCCAGAACTCTCTGTACCCCAAGACCCAACATTGAATAGAGAATCTCTGTTTAGTGGGGCCAAATCAGTGTGTTCCATGGAATCCAACTGTGTGTTCCTTCCATTACCCCACACCCTTATTATCCCATTTCTTCACAGTTTTCCTAGGTTTCTGTCTGTATGAACTGAGAAAAGGATACAGTCACTTAGGTTGGAGCATAACTCCTTATGGGTCCCATTTTGTACCTCATCCTTTGGGCCCTGTTGGGAGTCGAGTTCACCTCAGTCGAGTCTTGGTCTAGAAGCCAAGAAGGCTGTAGGCCCTGAGGAGGATCAGCAATGTTTTTCAAAGCAATGACCTCAGGGGAGACCATTACAGATTCCTCAGGAAAAGCAGGAGAAGGAAGAGGGCTTCTTCTATTAACAAGGCAGACTCTACACAATTTTGGAGTCTAATATTCCAGCTTAATCAGGAACTGTCTGTACATCCCCATTCCAATTTTCAAGACCCCATTTCTTTTAAATCAAATCTATCACCTTCAGCACTGTGTGTATGGGAATTGCATTTGTGTTATATTTCAGCCACTTGCAGGAAGAGACTGTGAGTTAGGTTTTCAGAAGTAGCTCTGAAGTTACAGGAAATAACTGCTTATTTTACGAAAGATATAGAAACCTCAGGTCACTTATGATGCTTGAGCTGAGCTGGGAAGTTGACACCCTGAGCTCATCTTTTTCTTTCCTCATTTAATTTTGTGCAGTGAGGAGCATTAGTGAATTTCATTACATTTGTTAGTTTGTCAAAAATGATCTAAAGTATCAAATACATGGTCACTGAGAACCTTGCCTTTTATAAATATTTGATTAGGAATATCCAGTGGTGATATTTTGTATATCTCTACTGCCACATCCTACTGCCAGGGACTATCAGTGCCCTCTTTAACACTGGAAATAAGAGAAGCAATTCCAGAAACCCCAGAACCATTTCCGAAAACACATCTTGTTTTCGGAACACATTCTGTTCCTCTGGAATCATCCTCAGTACCAAAATCTGTATTAGAGTTCTCCAGAGGAAAGGAATGTATGTATTTATAACATGAACATATACATTTGTACATCCATACATACAGGCATTCATAGGTTAATGACAGGGATACATTCTGAGAAATGCTTCACTAGGTGATTTCATCATTGTGTGAACATCGTAGAGTGTACTTGTCCAACTGTGGCCAACTGCATCTTCACTACCTGCCTCAGGGACCCAAGCATGCTGGCCCAGGACAGGGCCAGGGTTGTGCAGCTAGTTGGTGTAGCCTACTACACTCCTAGGCTATATGGTACTAATCTTATGGGCCCACCATCATATATGTGGTCTGTCATTGAGGAAAATGTCATTATGGGGCACATGCCTGTATATTTATGTGTATGTATATGTATATGTAGTCACACAGAGAAACACATATAAACAGATGTTATTTCATGGAATTATTCTTTGACTGTGGGAGCGGCATGTTGGAAGTGCAGGGAATGCCAGCAGACTAGAAACTGAGCAGGAGTTTAAACTTCAATCTGAGACATAATTTTTTCTTCACCAAGAAATCTCCATTTTTCCTCCTATGGGTTTCAACTGAGTGACTAACACCCACTCACATTTTTAACGCAATGTCAAAGTCCATCAGAAACAGCCCTCTTAGCCCGTAACTAGCCCACATCCCCACCCTTTCTCATGTTGCACAACCGACAGGGGGTAGACATTTACAAAAACAGGACTTGGACCTGGTCCAGGCTCTGGGCTCCAGAGCAGGGAGGACAGGGGAGCTGAGGCCAGAGACCTTGCAGCCCAACCCTCTCTGATGACAACGGGGAGATTGAGACCCACCTGGAATATTATCCCCACGTCTTCTTCAAATGGTGAATCGAGGGGTTCTGCGGAACAGAGGCAACAGTGGTCAGTGAGGAGAAATTCCTGAGGACCTGGCACTCCTGGGGAAAGGAAGAGAGTGAACTGTGAGGGGAAGCTGGAGCCCTGCTTCCTCAGGCTTCTGTCCTCTCCTGGACTTCTCCTGTCCTGGAAGAGACAGATGCCCATGGAACCCAGGGATGGCACACCTGGGACCCTATGAGTGGCAGTGCCAGGCAGGAGGATTTGAGTTCAACCCAAGAAAGGAGCCCAGGAAGGAAGTGAGCTTGTCATCACTGGGACTGGGAGTCAAGGTCAGCGTGCCCCTGGTAGGAGGGCCCTAGGAACTGTGCAGGGACTCAGACCACAGATTCAACCCTGAGAGCCAAGAAAGGGAAGAGGCAGTTCCCACGACTCCAGAGATGGACTCCCTTGGCCTCCCATATCTTTCCTTGGCCACCTGGATCCAGAGCTCCACCACCTGCTCCTGTCCTGGGCCATCATGCTCGGGTCCCCAAGGCAGGTGGTGATGATGCAGTTGGCCGCAGTGTTGAAATGTGTGATGGTGGCATGGATGGTGGGCACCAGTTATGAATTTCCCCTATCATCACACCAGAACCAGATGATGTGCAGGCAGTGGTAGGGCACCACATTCTTGAAGCTCCTGAGGAGGTTGGGGAGAGACACCCTGCCCTGCCATACCCCAGCTCAGCATCCACAGTCACCCACAGTCCCAGGCAGGGTCAGTGGTCAGAGCCAGAGCTCAGGCAGCTGAGGATGTGGCAGAGGCTTGTGGGAGTCCCTGGGTTTTGTCTATGTCCACTGAAGGCACCCAGCACAGGATGACCCAGGATAAAATCCTGTGGGGAAGAGAGGTAGCATTTACTCCAAAGTCTCACTTCACCAAAGCACCAGAACCCTGCTCTCACCTGCCCATCTCAAGGGGCATCTTCCTCCCATTCTGATCTCTCCTTGGGCCCAACTCCCCTTTCAGATACACATTCACCTGAAGTAGCGATAACCACGGGCTTTGTTTGTCTCTTATGTACTCAAGTACACATCAGGTGCCTAACAAGTGCTGAGGCTGTGGAGGACTCTTGGACAATGGGTGATCTACCCAAGGACATGGCAGCACTTCAGTGAGCTCCCCTCCCCCACCAAAGGGCCAGACTCTGCCTAACTTCCTCTCTGTTCCACCTCATCTGTCTGCACAGACACTCTGCCCAGCAGGTGTTCTCAGTGTCCATCTCTACTGTCCATGCGGGGACAGCGAAGCTTGGGGGTTAAGAAAGTTGCCCAGGTCATAGGGTTGATAAGTGGGGCAGATGGGATTTAGACCCAGATCACTGAATTCCAGATCCGGGACTGGCAGGTCTGGGGAGCTGATGGCACAGGGAAGGCCGGCCCTACCCGCCCTGAGAGCACCACTGCTCACCGCATCCATCAGAGTCAACTACTCTGCCACCAACTGGGGAGGGAACTCTAAGATTAGGCTTCTCCTCCCTCAACAGGTTCCTGGTGGTCACAGCCCAGAGGCAGGCAGGCTCTGGGGCTGGAGCCAGCTCTGTTGTTATTTCTTCAGCTGGAGGTGCCATCTGCACTAGAGTCTGTAATTCATTTGGCTCCAGCTCAGAAGCTGGGACTGGGGCTGAAGTTGAGGTTCATGCTTGGTCCTGCCCTAAAGGGGCTGATGGAAGTGACTCTGGCTCCAGCTCTAGCACAGGTGGTGGCACTAGAGCTGCAGCTGGCTCTAGCCCAGGAGCTGGCCCTTGCTCTGGCTGTGGAGCTGGCAGGAGCACTGGAGCTGGCATTGGAGCAGGATAAAGAGAAGTTTCTCCCACATACCTGACTTTTCCTGTGCCTTTCCAAAGGCAGGGAAGACTCCACTGCCTTTAAGGTAACTCCAGCCCTTAAACCCCAGCACAGATAGTCTTCCCAGACTTCCTTACCTTCCAGTTCTGCCTCAATGGGCTCTAGATGCTCAAGGTGAACCCAGAGATGGTCAGCATGGCCCTCCCTGTCTGAGCCAGGCAAATTGATGTGTACATAGGCCAGCTTCCCCTTGAAACAGGGAAAGTGCAGGGGCTCCCAGAAATCCTACATGTGGTCCAGCCAGGTTCCCACCATAGAAGAGACGGAGCTGAGGGGAGGAAGTTGGGCTGCAGAGTCAGAGGCCTGCCCTTTCCTTCAACACTGCCCATCCAAAGCACCTTGTTTGAGTCTGGGGGCCTGTGCCTGCACCTTCTGTCCAAGGAAAAGACGCATCCCAGCCCCAACCCCAGTGTGGCCATGCTGGCAGTGGCGGGCTTGCTCATCCAGCAGGTTGAACACAGAGTCTGTGTGAATTTCTTCTTTCCACTGACACTGCTGTCTAAATCGGCCTGGACACAGCCACCCAGCCTTCCATGCACCTGAGTTACTGGATTGAGGACTGAGGCAGATTTGTGAGCAGGTTGCCCACACACCTCCTGTTCTGGGCCTGGTGGTGGTGGTCAGAAGGGTTGGGTGTGGACAAAGGAAGGCAGATCAAGATGGGACTGTCGTGGGAATGGGCCTCTTGAGTACAACTCATCCTAGCTTCCCCTCTGGTTCTCAGGTGTCCTAGGACCCCACCCACAGCTCTCTTTTTGACTCCTGACCTCCTGGAGTGGAACCCACCAGACCTCAGCCCTCTCATGGTAATCAAAGGATGAGTGGAATGCAGTGTTCTGCCAAGCCCACCCAAGCTACAGTCCCCCTAGTCTCACCCCACCCTGTTCTGTAGAGACAGGAGGCCCTCCTTCTGGACCCAAACACCACTCACATTTTCAGTTGGTCTTATTGTCTGTAATCCTGGTCAGAATATGGGAAGATGCCTCCAGTGTTGAAGAGCCGATGAGGGCATCACATGTGATGTACAGTGGATAGGACCTGTGAATGATGTCTACTGTGACTGTCTGACTTCTAGACTAGAATTGAGGCCCAGGGATTGTGTCTGCTGCATTCACTGAGTTATGCTAAGTGTGTCAAGAAGTCTTGCATGTAGTAGGTTAAAATACATTGTTGGATGAATGCACTCCAACCAGAACCTTCCCAGGTGTCTGAGTGGGCCTGGAGATCCTCTGCTGGCCCAGATCCCTAATTGGCTACACCAAAGACAAGAACAAAGCACAGCTGGATAGAATCTCAAACTCTATTTGACAGGGTGCTTTCCATGTGCTTTTCCAAACTCCGAAAGGCCACATTCTAGCGATGGATGAAGCAGACTACTTTCCATGGGGGAGAGAGAAGCAATCACCATGAACAACCACAGCACGTCCACAGTCCTTTCTGCAGAGCCAGGTACCAGGTAAGCACCTGCCACGGCTGACCCCATGATTTCCTAAAACAACCCTGTTGGGTTCATCTTATTACCACCTCACTTTTCACAAGAGCAAAGTGAAGCTCAGAGAGATGTGTGGACATTCCCCAGACACACAGTTAGCAGGTGGGAGACTCCCCAGTGTGCTGTGGAGGGAGTGGCACTCACCTATGGAACAGCTGGTCCAGGACTTGTTGGGTGGTGACGAAGGCCTGGTAAGTGCATGGGAAAATATCGAGGCAGGAGATGTTTTTGTCTGGGAAGGCTGGTACCAGGGACTCTACTACCTCCTTGATTGTCCCTGCCTTGGGGGTCAGCATCCTGCTGGCCTCATCCAGAAACAGGATTGACTCCATTTCACACCAGGTGGAGAAGGAGTGCCATATCATCAGTGCCATCACCATGAGCCACCAGGAGGATCAGGGTCTGGAGCTCAGAATAGAAACTCCCATCAATTTAGGAACTTGGGCAGGAAGAGGGACATGAGGGCCTATATAGAAAAAGGTTCTAGGATTTAAAACCATAATTTGACTTGGAAGGGAATGATAAATAGTCGGTACCTTCAAGGTTTTGTGTTAGCTGAGAAACAATAGCACCTCCCTGTATTAATAGCCTGTATTAAGAGCATTATCCCAGTGAGTCATCAACAAACTTCCCCACTGTAGATATTGGGAAACAGGCTGCAGCCTCAGCCTGTGGGACATCTTGTACAGAGGAACCAAGCTAATCTGCCTGGATTCCTCATCCACAAATCTTGTAAGATTTAAATATTTGTAGTTTTAGGCATTGAGGCAATGGTTTCAGAGAGCAAGGGATAACTAATAGTCTGCCAGGCCCCAAGATCTGGCCCTGCCCTCACGCCTGTGCTCTTCTCTCCTCCCAGGCTCCCTCCAGCCACTCTGGCCACCTTTCTAACCTACTCTGGCCGAACGCACTTCTGCCTGCAAGTGTCTGCACCAGTGGTGCCTTCTCCCTGACACACTGCTCCTAGACTAATGCAGGGCTGGCTCCCTCTTGTCATTCTGCTCCCAGCAAATGTCACCCTAGTGAGGCCTTTCAGACCCTCCTACCCAGTGACGCCCAGCCCTCCCTCACAGCCCCCTGCTGTGTTTCATACTAGCACTTGCTCTTCTCCTTCACATGTCTTTGCTTTGGTGCTCTTGTCCGTCTCCCTTCCAGAATGTGAGCTCCTGACAGGCAGGGACCACTTGGTCATTTTCAACTCTACACTTAAGACCACCAGGGCACCTGGCACAGGGTGAGTGCTTGGTGCACAGTTGCTGAATGAACAACTGAGAATGTCTGGGAGCTCTCCTCCCTTTTAACCAGCGGGGCTGCAGAGATGAACGCTGGTAATGGGTTCCCTGTGGTATCTGATGTGGGAAGACAGCCGGAATCAACTCTGCATGACCTCCTGCTCCAGTTGCTCCAGCCACGCTCAGTGGGCACTGCTGACACAGGAGGCTGCCTGCCCCCTGGTGGCCAGCACTAGCACTGCAGCCCAGGCAGGAGCACCTGCAAAGAAATTGGCAAGATTTTTTGGGTGTCCTCAAGGCAGTGGCTCTCCAGAGTCCCAGGGGCAAAGGGGCAAGACCTGCAGACTCTGAGGACAGTCCAAGTGACATTGGAAGCCTCCATTTCTCCTCTTTTCTGACCACCCCTGTGTTGTCCTCTTTCCTCATGAGGCACCCCCACCTCAACCTGGACAATGAACCCCCCCACATCCAAATGGGGAAGTTGAGTGTCCAACAAGGATTGGTCTTGTCCCAGGACCCCAGTATTGGTGTGCAGTACTCTAGCATGTTCTTCCCTATAGCAAATCCTCAACCACCCAAGCTTCTCTCTGCTCTAAAGGATCTCCAGGGAGTGGAAAGCATTTTCTCAGGCTTTCAGAACCAAGTGAGTCATTAATACACAGAAGGATCCCTAGCACAGGGTGACATTAGGGGAACACCAGCCAGTCAGCCAGGCTTCATGTCCAAGGCTTGGCAGACAGAAAAGCCTATGTGCTGGCCTGAAGAATGTCTGGGCGTGTAAGCTCTGTCTTGCCATGCACACATGGACAATATACCATAGCTCTGCTCATGAGGCAGGTCTCAGTGCCCTTGACCCCCATCCTATCCCCTGTCACTTCCTCTATTCCCAATAGAAGAGGACATGGAAGTCAGTCAGGCAAAAGCATCAGATATCAGAATCACACAATCTGCCTCCACATCTGCCTCTGCCACTTTGCACAAGGGGATATGTCCCAGGGAAGGGACCTATCTGTCTAAGGTCACACAGTGATCCAATGGCAAAACTCATGCTTTAGTTAAAATTAGGTTCAGATAAATTGTCTAGAAAACCCTAATTATTTGTTGCATAAACAGGAGAGAGTT